TATATATATATTGTATATATTAAAAAAAATATATATTTATATTAAAAAAACGAATACATCAAAAGAAATAAAAATACTAAAAAAATTTACAACTTTAATTTTATTGAAAAAACATATATGTATAATTTAAATTTCTGCAGATTGGATCATGCAAAGATGGACAGCAAGATAATCATCAATGCAAGACCATCACTGTCTATCCTCAATTTAGTTCGGGAACACAAGAAGTGTACAGCGATCATATAAGAGAAGGTGATCAAGATATCTTTTTATTAAGAATTAAAAAGAAAGCAGAATACTCTGAACAGAAAAATAGAAATGTCGAACTCGAACTCAGAACACCTAAACCGCTGCCAATATCGTCACTGTCATCTGTACCTGCATCTGCAGTTGCACCACCGCAAATGAATGACGACGTAGAAGATGAAAAGGAATCGGATGTGGTAGAGGAAAATGCAAAACAACCAACAAACGTAAAAGAAAGAAAACACAAACAAAAAAAAAAGGAAAATAATTCGATATCTTAAAAGTGACATATATGTATACTAATTTATTTAAAAATAAAATATCAAATAACTCTCAAAATAAAATAAAATGTAATTTTGTCAATTACATAAAGATTTAATTGTTGCCAATTGTCGAAATAAAGTAAGTAATCGTTAATAAAGTAAGTTAATCAAGAGTTAATGAGAGTTTTAACATGATAATCAGTGCACAATAAATAATATTGCGCACTTTGATTACTGCGTCAAAACTCTTATGAACCCTTACTTTGTTTACATAAAGATTTAAGCAAAAAAAATAACTATTAATAATTTTAAAAAATTATACATTTTTATATTTTATATTTTATAAAGTGATAATTTTCTATATCTATTTATTGTTCAATTTGCCTAATTCTTTCGTAGAGGATAAGCTTTTATCTTATTTAGATAACTACTTATTGTTATAATGACAGCTTATTGTTAGAGTAAAAAAAAGTACTTTTGACATTAGTAAACAATTAAATAGACCTAAACTTCTTCTGGGTGTTCAAAGAATATAAATATGATGAATTTGGATCGAATCTATCGGTAGCTGTTGATAACATTCGGAAGAAAAGGCTCGACTTCATTTACTATTATGGAATTTTCAATAAAATGCACATAGTATGCTTAATACGAAATATACGTCCAGCTTATTCACCGTTCGATCGAATAGCCATGCAAAATTGCTTTATTATGGTTGACTAGATGATCTTCTCGTTTTTTACTTGTTTCTTTTCATATTTTTCCTTAACTATCCGTACAAAGAGCCTCATGACAGTCAATGACACAGCATGTCACTGGAGGCCGCATAGTTAAAGACTATATTATCATAATTGCTTACTAATTTCTGCTTCGCTAAGTTGTAAGTGAACGAGCTACCTATCAAAGAGTATCGTCACATTTCTGTCACTAGATCGATCAAAAAATATGCAAAAAATATACAATAGAAATTAGCTTTGCACATTTTGATACAAATATATAATAACAACGCACGTATTACATGTAACAAATCACAATAACATCAAAATTAATCGTAACTTAATTATTGAAAAGTGACTTATATTAATTATTTTGGAGCCATTTTGACATGATGTTGATGTTGCGATGACTTGTGTTTTACTTTTGATCTATTCTCCTTAGCGTTATCTCTACTTAATTCACAGCTTTTCTTCTTCGAATAAAAAATTAATTCGTTATTGTATATTACATAGCGCAATATAATACGGATGTGTCTATTGAGTTTTGTCGTTCTTCTCTTCTAAAAACGATTTAGAAGGTACTTGAAATATTTCAAAGTGTCCCCATATTTTCTTGGCATTGTCATCGATTTTCTCGAGATCGTCACAGTCGGCGATCACGAATATTCCGCGAGCGTCGTCCGCGACGTCGGCCGTGGTGTCTGTCCGATGTGTAAAGTTAAACTCCTCACAAAAGAGGAGAATGGATGTCGCGATTATTGGCGTGTAGGGGGAGAGCAGGCTTCACAATATACGCGGGAGTAAGAAAATGCGAGGGCGGTTTCGTAATTGTGAATGGCGTGGGAGTTCATAAAGGTGTCGTTCGCATTCTGTGTGGTCGCGTTTAAGGGCGGTGACAATGGCGCTGACCAATAAATTAGAACGCCACGAGGAAAGAGCGCACTCTCGATGCACACGGAGAGAAACAGTGTGACGAGCACGGTCGCGGCGGTGAGTGAAAAGCTACTCGTTTTTCCTAAGCCGTGACGGGCTAAAGAGGAGCCTGCGGTCGCTGATGAATGGAGCGACAAGTGACCACGATATTGTACGGAGGATGGCTGTCTGCGAGCTAAGAAGAGGATCTCGACGCGCGAGAACTGACGTCTTTGGGATGAAAGAACTGCGATAATTCATGGGCCACTTGTGAAAAACGCGTAAAATCGAGATATTTTTTCGCACGCCCGGACACAAACAGAATTGAACACGTATAAAGGAGCTGGTAGCATCTCGATTAAAGAAAACTCTCGCATTGCAAAAGTTGATATTGTTCAGATAGGTAAATGTTCGTTACGAAAATAGGGATAGAATAAGCTTCTTGAAATAACTTCTTTTGAGTAGTTATTTTTTTTCTGGTTACTTCCCTTGATTAAATTTTTTATACTCATTTCTACCAACATTAATTAACTTTAATGTTAACTTAATCTCGATTTAACTTAATTTTTCTTCTAATTTCTTATAGACCTAGAGAAAATAAAAAGTAAATTAAACCAAGATGAAAGTTAATTTAAAAATAATCATTAGTTAAGTTATTATTTTTTAAAATAAAAATTCTTAAGTTTAAATATGGAAATATTTTCTGTTATTGATATCATTGCTAAACAATTTCTGTAATTATAAATTACATTTAAATATCACATAGAAATTAGCAGAATAATTTAACAGAGTATAAACAATACTGTAAGAGAAGGTTCAATTTTGAATTATAATAAAAAAATAATAACGTGGAAATTTTGCGAATCAGCAAAAAAGAAAGCAAATTTATTTTTGGCTTGGTATAAATTCTCTCGTTTTCCGTTAATAATATTAATTGTCGCAAGCAGTAAAGGAATAAATAAATCAACAGGCACGTTCGCCGCGGGCGGTAACGCGCGCGATTATTCAGGGTGGTCCGCCGATTGTGGCATCGGAAACTGCAGCTAAAGCTGCTTGATCCGTGAACGAAAGGTAGGGGGAAAAGCCGTAATATCATCATTATGTTACGTCACACAGATGCGCAGATCAGGGGATCTCGAGACCGCCGTTTTTATATTGCGGTTACTGTGCCATTGTGTGTCTTGATATCCACAAAGGGCTCCAGAAGAACTCCTGCGGAGAGAAGGTCTATGGCATAGCAGAATTACTGATTGGCTAGTTCCCCTGTCAACAGTTATGATAATCTGTACATACTTCCTGTATATCTTCCCTTTCCGATCACCTGTCAATTCTGCGAAGGTATTCCTGTAGAAATTGAAAAATATGTCACACGAGTATAGATCGATCATTACTTTAGTCCAAGGAATACACCTGTCAAAAGAAAGTTAAAATTATTTTATTTTGACGTCATAAAAATTAAAACGATTTTATTGAAAAATTTTAAAATATCAAGCAAAATTAAAAATTAAATTATATTTAACCATAGACTATGATCATAGTCTATTTAACTATGACGGAAATAGACAAGGTAAATATGTAGGGGAGACCAGGGTCAGTAAACTATAGGGGTAAGTATATAGAATAATCGAATAATCGAGGCTACGTTATAAACAAATCGCGCGAGACACACGTGAGTACTTGCCAAATAAAAACATGAAATATGATCATCGAAAAGAAGAATCCAGAATTATACATTTTTATCACTTCCCAAAAGAGAAAACATTAATATTAAAGTAGGAAGAATCTTGTGAAAAACCAATTTTTATTATGATATAACGCTTAATCCAAATAGTATATATAATAATAAGCGCGGCAATATGGCGGTATACGATATCACGTTCTTATTGGCTTTGAAATGAATGCACACACCTGAGTTTCTTTTACGACGATAACCAATAAAAAATCTAGCGACTTTGATTTTTTTACGATACGAAATGTATTATGAGTAAAAAAATGTTTTACATTTTACTTAACTTTAAAATTAAATTAATATTACTTTACTATAACTGTGTAAAATTATTTTATTTATTGATATATAGGAAAATATTTTATATTTTGTCAATTTATTTAATATAAAAAGTCAATAATATATAGTAAATTTAGTCTGTTTTAATTAATAGTCTGTTTCTGCTACGTATTTAACAATTTAGCTCACTCTGAACATAGTATAATTAGAAATATAATATATGTACAATAAAATTGGCATAAAAATAAATGGTTGTCGTTACTGAAAGTGGATATGTATCGTCTGTCTATTTATCATTCCTAAATAGAATTTTGTAAAAAATTACCAGTAATTGTTACCTTCATGTAAAGTGACAGCGAGCAGTAAATCGTTCATATGAGAGAAAATGTTGGCAAGTCATGCTGGAATCACTAATAGTCTTGACAGTGCTGAATTGTATTTTTATGTTCAGTTCTACAGTTACAACCTGCGCATTGTGGTAATTATTACAAACTGCTCTTTTTGTTGCAATTGTGCGTGATTGTTGTAAACTGTAAATGGTTCTCTAGGCGTTATTTAAGGGACACTGGCATCTGTAACAATCGCAACAAAACGCGCCCTTCGTATTTCCATTTTATTTATTTTCCTTGTACCGAATAAAAATCTTCTTCAAAATAAAAGAAAAAGAGCAAATAGCTGTGGGAATTATAAACCTATATGAAAAACAAACATTGTGTCCCGACCTTTTTTGCCAATCACTTTTGTGTAGATAGAGCGGACTAAACTGAGTCGAAAAGTCCTCTACCATTTTGCAATTTTCGCACTAGCTAACAAGATATTAATTACTAAAAATTGCAAAATATTTGGTCTTGAATAATTTTTTACTCAAATACTATCAACTTTATAGAAAAGCTGCAAGAGACAAAAATTATTTATTTTCTTCTCATAAAGTCCTGAGAATTTTTTCTGAATTTTTTATCAACTTTTTAGTACTGCATTTTCTTATTTTTACCAACATGAGATTACCAACATGAGTATTTTTACCAAGATGTAGCAAATGCTAATATCATGCAAGATGTAACATGATAGCAAATGCTATATGTATTTACAAAAAGAATGTTTAATACACGCTTGCACATACATCTTGCAAATTGGCTTTTATGCTTCTTTAACGAATTAATTTGACTTTGTTCGAATAGCCAATAAATTGTTTATAATTGTAATCAAAAATTTTATTGATATTGATAAACTTTGGCTGTCGCGTGCACGCGCATCAGCATCCCTTTAAATACATATTAAAATTATATGTGCCATTAATAATTTTATTGCGCATCAGGTGGCAATATCAGGGTCAACGTTGTTGTCCTAGGAAAACTACTACTCAACAAAAATTCGATTCAAGGAGATCGAAGAATTATACTTTGCAAACTGCCAAAAAGTCGAAGAAATCAGATTTTGATGGCTATGTTAAAATTGTTAGCAAGTCTGGTAAAAATGGTAGCAAGCACAGAAGTAAAAGAAGTCAGAAGAATAGATCTAAAGATCTGGGATATCAAAAGAGAAGCAAACAGAAAACATTATTCACGTAAAAAAATTGTATTTTCTATTACTGCTCTTTACTTATTTTCTTATTTTTATGTTGCGACTATTTACAATACGGCCTTTAATATATTTTTCAATATCAATTTACAATTTTTTATTGTGAATATTTACAATTTTTTATTGTGTATACACTATATACTGAATATGCATTTTAGAGGTGGACTAGAAGTAAGAAAGTCCGACGAAAAGGCTAAAATATCAGAAGCTTCTCAAACGATAAATGATACAAAATCAACGGTCGTAATGGAGTTTTCGACAGTCCAAAAAGTTGTGCAGATAGTCGACAACGATCTTGATATTAATACATTGAGAACTCCTTTCAAAGAAATTGCCATTCAAAAAGATACCTCTGACAAGAAGCGTGATTATAATGTTGAGCAAAATTTCGAGGCTAACGTAGCTACTACTGACTCTTAAATTGTTGTAACAGATTAATAAATTAACGATATAAACTTGTTATTATGTAGATATTATAATTTCTGAGATAAAGATTAAAAACAGAAATTTTATAAATATAAATCGAGATTTATGATTGACAACAAAATACCTAACATTTCAAAGTTTTTAGTCTTATTTGTTGTGTTCAAGTTTATTTAAACGAAAACACAAATATATGTGGACAAATAACTCTTCTTAAATCTCCATTGGCAATGTAAAATTCTTAATTTTTGTCTGTAATCTGGATCTTCGAAGTCAGAAAAATTTCAGTGCAGATTTTTATATTGTTTCATACTGTATAAAAGTAAAAAAAATATTTCTACACATACTCGTACTTGTGAAAACTTTAATGAGTATTTATTATCACAGAAGTTAGATTATATTTTATTTATTCTTTTATGTATTTAAATTTATCTATTAGAATTCACAATAAAAAATTAATTGTTCTTTTTAAAGTCTAACATTGCAGAGAATTAATGAATACAAGCGATTTTAAAGATAGTAGATGTATAATATTTCTTTGACTTAATTGATACAGTTATTGGTTTTATTAGAAGAATTATTCAACATATATTCTTCATTGTTCGACGTTTTTATTTTGTTATTACAATCCACTTTTATTTTTAATTCTTGATGACCCTTGTTTTTACCTCAAGATCTTTTATAAACATGATATTCGCTTTTGTTTGCTTTTAAGTTTGCATTTGTACTATTCCTCTTGTTTAAAGAATCATCCGACTTGTAACTATTTGAATGTTCAGTTTGTTTGTTACATATCTGCGAGATTCCTCTATTCTTTTCCATACACCGATGCATGTTCCGACATTCTCCTGATTGAGGGTATATTTTTTCCCTGTGATACGATTGACATTCTTGTTGATCTTTACGATTACGTTCAAAACAAGAAGAATCTTTGAATCTCCGTCGCGCATGATTTGAGTCAGCTCTCACGCATTTCGGAAAATCGTGCGAACGTACACTTCGATGTTTCTGCTTCGGCTTTCTACGTACGCAACATTCGCTTGAATCCACTCTTCTAAGATTCTTTGAAAATCTTGGAAAACTGAGAAAAGAGGAATAATTTAACTGAAGAAACACACACAGAACAAATATGCTTCGACACAATTGTATCGTTTGCAACCCACAATTTTTATGAGCTCGTACCATACCGAAAAGAGGATACACCAGATGCATGTTATGCAAGCGCTGTTGCATATGGTAATACAGTCCACCATCTCGCGAGAAACTTCGCATTTTGTGATTTACGATGACGTTTACGGGTTCATATCCCAATTGATAAATTTAAATTTTTTTAATTTAATAATAAAATTATCCCAATTATCAACACCGTAAATTGATATATGTATGTACATACATGCATACAATAACAACGTATAGTAACGATTAACACATGAAGTATAAGCTAAGCCTATCAAGCCTGTCAACTGCAACACTAAAAATATGCATAGTGTAATTTTATCATAGATCTTTTTATAAATTCCATGATCTAATTCCATTGTGGAGCTAAAAGATGGAGCTAAAAAATGAAGAAAAATGGATTAAGATGGAACTAAAAAAAGACGCAGCTTTCGTCACATCGCGAAATGTAAGTATCACTATAATTTTTTAATGCAATCGTTGATTTCCAAATGAACTTAGGATGTTAAAGATTATCGCGTCATGCAGCTGTGTTTGTCTTTGATAAGCTCTTGTGTTTCAAGAGTGAAGAATTTAACCTGCTTATTCTTGCATTCCTTCAAACTATGTAATTTGCTAATTTTTAATATTTAATCGGAAAGCTGTAGTTTAGAGCACTTTGAGTATAAATAATAATAAATTATATCCAGCTAAATTTTATATTCATGCCTTAAAGATGTTGTTGATTTTACTATGCATTAGCTGATAATATCGTATTATAATGTCACGCTCCGCGTCGGACAGGATAATCTAGTCTTTAAAATTTTCTTGCGAAACCTGGTAATTTTGTGTAGATATTTTCATAACCGGATGGCGCATCGATTACTTTAATTTCTTCGATTACCTTAATTTTTACGATATTTCTCCGGCTATAATTGCGCTAAAAAATTAATCGCGTACAACCTACAAATATTCCTCTTCGCGCATGCTCTCTGAAGAAAGAAACTTTTGAGGCGAACGTACACATCATGGTGGAAATAATAGGGTGTGTTCCGAGTTACACATGAAGCGCATAATGTACCGTTTTATCCTCCTTTATTATTTGATGAACAACAAGGACAAATGATGCATCATGCACTTCATGCGTAACTCGGAACGCACCCATATACTTCCACTATCGTACACATCCACGCATAAATGTCGTATCTATGTACACGAACACTAGTCCGCATTGAAGACAGTTGAAATGTGACAACATCATGTCTATCTCGCCGCTCGGCGTGCAAGAAGAATTCCATCAAATTACAAATTTAAATTACTCTAATTCAAAAATGGCACTGGTAGGCCTCCCCATTTTTTTTCATAAGATTTCTATAATATTTCTACATTACATATTTATTTTTTTTTTAAATCTGTAGAAGATTTTCGCCGCAAAGTATTAAAACGTTACTTCAGTAAGGCTTGCAATATCCAAATTTTTAAAAAATCTGTAGAAACTCAATTTCTCGGAGAAATACCTTAAAGCTACACTAATTTATTGGAAAGTTTATAAACACGGTACAAATATATAATTATATTAATGACTTTATTATAATTCTGGTTCACTTTGTGAACTAGTTATGAAATAAAAAGTAATAATAATAATTAAACAACGCTTTAAACACTCATTTTTCTTCAGCTAATGATTTGCTTTTAAGATCTATATATCACTGTTAATTTTACAATCTCTGTTCTGTTACACTAATAATATTTTAATGATTGTTTAATGTTAAGGCTTCCGTTTACTCACCACTACCTCAGTTGCAATTTATTGGCGATATATTTGTTAAATATTGGGAATATAATTATGTTATTAGGATATTATCCCAGATTGTGACATTAGAAGCGAGAAAATATATAAATGTTTATATGTGTTTTTTTAATTATGTATATTAAATGTTTTAATACAATTAATGTTTTAGTAGCAAAATACAAATTCTTTCATAGATCGCTTGTTCATTCCAGTGAGTGTTTTTTCAAAAAGTCTCCCAAAATTCATTACCTTTATATAAAATCAATAATTGTAACCTACTGATTTACCTCGTAAGCTGGTCACGTCAGCGAAATTTCGTTACGAAAACATCGAGACAGACAGTTCGGCGTTCTCTATTTAATCACGCATGTATTGGGTGTTAAGAGCCTGTATACGTGAATATTCTTCAAATGCAGCGTGTTATATATGTATGTGTACAATGTCTGAATAGTGGGGAACTTGGTGTACAACTAGCATGAGAAGGAGAGGAATCGTTTTACCTCGAGTAGATAGAAATCCTGAGCGGACAGGAACTGCGGAAGATATACTTCTTCATTCGTCAAGTTGGCCTCAGTAATGCAACATGTATGAATTTCCCCTCATGTCTGTGTAATGTTTCGCCATCTATTGCAAGGTAAGTGTCGTAATATCTAAGATTGATTTTCGAGACGTGCTTTCCTTTCAGTCTATAAATAATCAGCAAAATACAAAATTGCAAATATGTAAGAATTCATAAAACCATTCTTTTAATTCTTCGATAAAATCTACTTTTTTAAAAGGGTTTATGAAAAAAGTATAATTGTATATCTTATCTTGGTTTTAGAGAATAAGATTTACATATAGAATTTAAAAAAAAACCTTTTTTTACATTATCCTTACAAAATTTTTATAAAATTTAATTTTTTATTACATAGACTGTAGATTTAAAAAATTTAATATTTAAAATGTTATTTTATTAGCTTTCCAATCAGGTAAGTTTAAATTTCACATTTATTCATTCAAAAGAAGGGAAATGTACGATCATTTATTTTATATCTTCATTCTCGTATTTCGTAATTATCTCTTGTTTATATAGTTATTCCTACATCAACTCATATTTACTTGTTTATCTTATTCCCAAAATTCTACTACTATCCTATCTTCTCCAACATATAATTCCTCTCATATATGATTTTCGCCGGTCTATTAGCAATATTACTTGAAGTTGTAATATTACTGATAAACATGATATAATTATATGAAAATTCGATCATATAAAGTTGCAATTCTCTCGCTTTGGTTAGAATTGTTAGCAAATTATTTAGAGTTTAAATTAGAAATTTGTAATGTTTTTATTTCAACACTCTTCATAAAATATTATTATAATTATCAAAAAGATCAAAATTAATTAGTCGGTTATACTCACATCATCTTTTCTTTTCGTAGCCAAGTTATTATAATAGCGAAAATTTATTGATTAACAATTACGATATATTTGAACCATTTTGCTTTGTTGCTTACATAACATGAAATACATAACGAATATTCAAATTTAAAAATTACAAAAATTTGAAAATCTAAAAATTGAAAATTTAATTTATTGGTGTCGATTTAATTTTTTAATTTAATTTAATTTTTTAATTTAAATTAACGGAGAATTGCCGTCAACTAATCAATATTCAATAAACTGATCGGTTTAAAAAAAAATGCTCGTTCAAAATTTGGAAATAATTTGAAATGAGGTCGCCCGCGAGATCAAATTCATGTCACGTATGCACTCTCCTTTGCCTTTCTCTGACTCGCCTGTGTGCAATGTTATTTCCGATTACTCACCTTCGTTCGTTAAGTACATATTTTAAAGAGATAAATATCGTTTACGTATAGCGCTGAGACTGAACGGAAACGTGCATCAGTAAATAAATTGCTGTATGATATGAAAAATGCGCATAATTACCTAGATAATACGGCTAATTTACATAAATTATGATTCTGCAAAAATATGTTTAAATTAATGATACTAGCATAAAAATGACAGAAAAGCAGATAATATCTAAATTATACGTTTTCTACATTCTGTTTGACACTTCAAAATTCTTTGACGTCTTTGCTATAAAACTCCGTTTATCATGGTATTTGTAATTTGTGATCAAATATTTGTTCATTAAATCAAACTGTTAAGACGTATGACCTAGTGCCACCTTTACTTATTTTTACAGGAAAAATGTGAAAGTAAACGGTAGATGTAAGTAATCCTGTACAATCCAGAAAACATCAATGATTAGAGAAACTGTGCGTTTTTTTTAAATAAATGTTGCAACACTGCAGCAAATTCATTATTTTAGTGTTTCATATGTGTTGTAAGTTATGCTAAAGTGTCAAAAAATTACAAAATTGCTAAATTGTAACCTAAGTGTATGTGTGTGTGTGTGTGTGTGTGCGCGTGCAAAAATTGTTAAAATTTTATACTAAATAACAAAATAATTATAATAGTAATAAAAATAAAATAAATAAAAATAAAAATAATTTTGTGACTGAAAAATAAATCAAATCTAACAAGTAAAATATCTTATGAGCTTCGACGTTGTTGGTGCGTAAATAATAGATTTATGAGACGATAAAATATAATTAGCAAACAATTAGAATGTACTTATCAACAAAGTTATCTGCAAACGTTTTAACTCTGTATTTAAGTGTCCTCCTTAGTGTCAGTGCAGAAGTCAAGTAAGTAAACTATTGGATTTGAGTCCTCTTTAATCTCAGTATAAAAGTGAAGTACAAACAGGATTGGCAAATGTTACTTTTCAATTACTTTGTCGTTACTTTTTGTAGTAAACAATTTGATGACGGTGTTATAATTTTTTATGACGGTAACGCTAACTAACTATAAACGCTACGGTTGTGCTTAGGTTAGAAAAGTCACTTTGAAAAGTAACTTGTCATCATTATGTGTTACTTACTGAAAAAAGTGATAAGTAACGAATAACAAATAATTCGTTACAAATTAGAAATTTTTTTCAGTAACAAATGACTCTTTCAATCCGTTAGAAATAATGATTGATTTCTCTAACTTTGATGTTATCATTACCGCCATAAAAAATTCACAATGTCATTATCAAATCGTTCTTATAACAAGGTAATGATCAACAAAGTAACGCCAACTCTGAATACAAAACTACTGAATATAATCAATAATAGTCAAATTACTGAAAATTCAGTAATTTGTGCTTGATTTTTACAATGAGAATTTAATCCAGAAAATATTTGCAGTTAACTTTGTTGGTACATTTCAATCGTTTGTGAATTATAGTTTCTCTTAAACGAATCTCCCAGGAACTAAAAATATTTCAGAGACTGTCCTGTATGTCCTAAGGATATTTTCAGGCGGGACGTTTCTCGGATAAAGTGTGTACGGATTATTGCCTTATAAATATGTTATTTACGCATATAAACATTTTCTACTCATATTTAATAAAAAAAAAAATACTTATAATATATTAATAAAAATAAATTTATGTGATTTTACCATTACAGTAATAATCATCTATCAAAATTATCTTCCCTTACATCAAATCTTGCAATCCTCGCATCTGTAGGTAGACAACAATATCGATTCAGTGGTTGTCTCAGAAAATCATGACGTTGTTACCACCAACGCCGGCGCAACAGAAACATATAGACAAGGAACTTCCATCTGATCCGGAAATGAGAAAACAAGATATCAGAGCGCTTCGAGAATGGCTTTCAAAACAACCGCATTTGCCGAATCATATAGGTTTGTTCGTAAATTACTCGTAATCACGTTGATAAAATAACATGTTATTTTAATGGATATAGAAATATAATTTTAAATATAATTATAATATGTAAAATATTGAAAAGTATTTAAATATCTAAACTAACAAAGAAACAAACTCAAATATTTTTCCTGTTAATTTTGATGAATTTTGGATATATTGTAACATAAATTAAGAGACATGTAGTTTTTATAAATGCTTTTATGTACATTAAGATGAAACACATGATTTGAAAAATTAATTTTTATATTTTTAAATGTATAACATTGAAACAAAAGAAGATATATAATATAAGAAGAGATATATAACACATAACAAATATTTTAAACAAAATTTTTGTATAATGTTTTAAAAATACTTCATAGTGTATTCAAATTTTTAAAAATGTTACATATTTTTTTAAATTTTGAATAATCCGTTATGGCAAGAATTAAAAATATTTATTAAAAAGGAGAAAAATAAAATACTTGTCAACAATAAAATTTTAAATTAAATAAGATTACATGCATTTGACGAAAAATGTGTAAAATTTTGCATAAAGGAATGTAACCTTTACATTTACATACATATCTTTCGTTTATTTACAGACGACAACAAACTGGAGAGATTTCTTTTCAATTGCAAGAACAGCATTGAGAGATGTAAATTAATCTTGGACAGATACTACACCGTTCGAACATCCCTGCCGGAATTTTTCGCTGCTCGCGATCCGTTATCTCAAGATATTCAAGACTCTTTCAATATGGTGTAAATAAATCTTGATTTCTGATATCCGAAACTTCTTCAATATAACGTAAATAAATTTTAGATTTTTTCGCAAAATTGACTAAAAAAGGAGTTAAAGTACCTGATTTTAAACTGACAAATCGGAAAGAGTCTTAACTAAATTTACTGTTGCATGTGTTTCTAAACAAATATTTTTATTAGAGATTACATCGTTCTGCCATCATTAACTGAGGAAGGATACCGTGTCGTCATCTTCCGATTACGTAACACCGATGTGGAGAAGTTTTCGTTTCAAGCGCTAGTGAAACGTGTCTTAATGATACTTGATACACGTTTGATGGAGGAATTTTGTTTGTCTAATACTATGATCATAGATCTCGAGGTATGGTACTGCGATAGTGCTTTTATTTCGACATTTTTTTATCTTGTATCTTATTGTTATTTTTACAATCTTGGAGAATCATAATTATTAATACTTTATAAATTAATAATTTATTTGGGACATTATTTTTAATAAATCTTTGACATTGTTAAAAAAATTTAAATTTTGTTAAAGAAATATCCATTGCTTTAATATATGCAATTTTTTACGATATAACAAACTTATATACTAATTTTTTAAGAAATATATACATATATATATATATAGAAGGTTGTGGATGTAAAGCTGATAGAATATGGAAAGTTGCACTTAAGCGCCAAGTACATTGAGTGCATCTAGTTATGTTGCTGTTATTTCGAAAATAGTTGAAATTATGCGTATTTTTATTAACAAAATCTAGTAATTAAAAATTAGATGGTATAAATTTATTAAAGAAAAAAATTTTTCGTTTTTTATTTTATACTCCATATTATCGCTTTTATCTTCAAAGATATGAATTATTCTTAAATTATTCATCAGTGACTATTATCATAAAAATATCCGTAATTCATTTAAAAAGAAATTCGTTCTTTTAGGGACTTAGCATGGCGCACTTAGCAAAATTCATTCCAACGCAATCTATCGTAAGACGGGCAATGTTAGCGGTACAAGATAGTATGCCTTTTCGATTATCTAGCATTCACTTTCTTCACGCAGCATCGTTCATCACTAGTGTAATCAATGTATTTTATCCACTTTTAAAAGAAAAGTTGACTCAAAAGGTAAGGCTAAAGGTTTAAATAAGATAACCGGTAAATAAGATTGAGAAACGAATAAAAAATGCACATAAGAATACATTTTTTATCTTTGCAGTTTCACTTTTTTAACGGTGGTGCGGAAGAATTATATGTTTACATGAACAAAGATATATTACCTAATGAATGGGGTGGCAAAGCAGGCACTTTTCAAGAATTAAATGGTAAATACATAATTTTTTTATTTTATATTTTAAACAATATTAATTTTACTTTTATAAAAACGTTTATTCTTCATATATTATTTATAAATAAAAATATAATTATAAACAAAATCTTTATTAATTAAGTTCTTATCATACATATATACAATTTCATAAAATTGAAAGAACAGTTTAAGTTTATTTAATATATAATATTACTTATCTCTCTTATACATAGATGCATGGCAAAAAAAAATTGAAAAGAATCGAGATTGGTTTCTACGGGATGAAAAGTTGAGTCGTACAAATGAAAAGGCTCGTTTACTGGAATTAAAATCGTCCTGTCTTGCAATGAACATCGAAGGAATTCAAGGTTCATTCCGGAAATTAAATATAGATTATCGATATTCTTATTATAAAAATTCGATTGAAATTGCAAATTACAATTAGCATATAATTTTAACTAACTAACAAATAAGATAAAATTTAGTGAAATTATACGGTTTTTAAAGCAGTATAATGACTTTATATTTTTATTAAAAATTAAATTATATATACATTATACGTGGAACTAAGCGCAATTTTTGGAAAATAGAATAAAAAAGGTAATTTGTTATTTGAAAATCTATAAGACTAATCTTTTATTTAAAACCACATTTATGCTATTTGTTACCAAGAAGAAAAATTTGCAAAGCATTTAATAAAGTTTTATTTTCATTTATCAAAATCATCATTTTATTATCCGATGAACAAAAAAGCTTTTATTCTCGTTATTTCATGATACTAGTCTATAGATAGCGCCACTTCTATGCTTATCGTTGTTATAGAAGCGTATTTCTTAAACACGTATTTTAAAATTATTTTTATTTTCATTTCAGCTTTAATAAAATTTATAAAATAATTAAAAATATAATAATAAATGCCTTTATATATATATTTTTGTTATTTGTTTAAAAGCATATGTAATAATAAAATAAAAAAAATAAAATTTTTAATAAATATTTGGTGCTTAGAAAATATTTAAAAAATCAATGCATATAAAATATCAATAAATAACTGTTTTTTGAAAGCAATCTCACGACAATTTCAACACATACATCGTTTTATGAAATAAAGATGTATGTACGAAACGAGGAAAAAAGAAATTACGCAATTATATGCAAAAACTGTAATTGTTGAACATAACATTTAAAAAAAGTTGAGCGCTATAATTTGCATGACCCAGATACGGTTATCGATGTAATAGTGGGCGTCTAATCGTCTTGTACTAGCCTGTCAGCTAAATCAATTTATTCCGGCTTATTTTATGCAACGTAATAAAGATCATAAAACGCATTTATCATAAACTATCTGTGAATTATGTTAATATAGTGTCCAACACTATAGTAACATTAAATAATATAAACATGTTTACGTATTTCGATTAAGCAGATTTATTTCAAGTTATGAATCAGTATATACAAGTTCAGAGAGATAAAATGTGATTTACTAATATTATTCATCATTAGAGAATTCTATTTACAATATCAGTCTGCTATCTTGTGCAGAGTGTCTGGTAAGTTTCCACAAAACGCTCGTATGCAGATAGACTAAACTGAATAAAAAAATCTTTATTTTGTAATTTTTGTAATAGTGAATGAGATATTAATTTCTAAAGATTGTCAAATAAGCAGGTAAAATCGACGTATAAGATAACTTTAAGATTTCTTTAAGTTTTTTATAAAATATCTTAAAGATGTTTTTTAAAAGTATCTTAAAGTTGTTTTATATATCAATTTTAGACATTCTGCTCATTGAGTAACTAAAAAACAAAAGTTACGCAAATTGCAAAATGGTAAAGGACTTTTCGATTCAGTTTAGTCCGTTTTATCTACACATGAGCGTTTTGTCAAAATTTACCAGACACTCTGTATATAAACTTTTAATTTTGTAATCAGAAGACAATGAAAAAATTTTTATATATATTTTATGTTATATTTTTAAAAGAATTTTTTTTCAACCAATAAACAATTAAATTTACAATCTATTGCAGTTTGATATCATTTTATTCATTTAATTTTTGTAAGCAATAAATAAAAAGCATACAGCCACACACAGAATATTGGTAGTAAAAGTCATATATTTAAATTTTGTTGATAATAAGATCATTTACGTTTTGGCCACAATTTGGCCATTTTCAGTATGTTAAAAATACAGACTAATATTAATCATAAATTTCGGTATCATAACATAAAAGTACATTGAGATTTTTTTGTTTTATCTTCAAACTTATTAACTCAAAAATGAATACTTTTAAAAAATGATTTTTTAATGTCACCCATTTACATTTAAATGATAAAATTTCTTGAATATGGAGTTTAAACAGATTAAAGATAGAGTGCAAAAGTTTCGTTATAACCTTATTAATGTTTAAATTTATTTTAACAAACTCAATCATGGAATTTTATAAGAAATTTGGTTGATTATTTGATAGGCTGATTATTTACAAGACAATTAATTATTTATGATACAAATTAAGCAGAGATTAAAAAATACATAGATACAAAGTTAAAAAATATTTCCGATGTTTGAAATATCACTTGCTCGTACCCAACGTTTTTTAATTAATCTTCTAGACTTATTTATACTGCAGTTATCGACTTTATGTCTAATAGAGTAACGCCTACTTCATAAAAAAAAAATATAAAAACGATATTTTCATGTATCGTAAAAATATTTTTCAAGAGATGACTATTATTAATGTTTCTTCAGATAGTATCAAATAGAAATGCAAATTTCAGGTAATAAAAAAATTGTCGTACAAATAATACAAAGCGAAATACCGCAGTAAGCTAAAACGACGTTTGATGGTAACTTTATGACTGCCGCAATGCACAACGTTGTCTTCTTTCGTCCTCGCTTAACTAACTTAATAAGCTAATGATGCTCGCGGCCTGATGCATCGAATAATGCCTCTGTTGAATCTACTTTGATTCGTGCCGAATACAGTGTTAGGGACGTTTGTTTGTCGCTCGTATTGTCGAAGAGCGCGAATCGCGTCGTACGTCATACTGTTTCATCACTTTTTCCACTGTTTGCTATTTGTATACACTATAAAAAAAGTGTTTAATTTTAAGATATTAAAATGTTTTATTCTTGTCTCCGTTTTTTAAAAGGTGTTTTAATTTTAAACTGTTTTATTAAACAAAACACTATGTATTTGGATTTAAAATACGTAGTGTTTTGTTTATTGAAAAAGTTTAAAATTAAAATATCTTTAAGTGTTTAAAAAACGGAGACAAGAAAAAAACATTTTGCACTTAAAATTAAACACTTCTATTTTAAGTGCAATTATTTTCTTCATTTTGCACACTTGTCTCAGTAATGTAATATTCGTTCTGAGCACAATAGGGGATAGTCGAGGAATGCAAGGTGCACGTACCTTGTTTACGCATATCATTTATACGTTCATTGTTGATTTCTTTTGTTTAACCACTTGACGTCTATTTCCAGCTTCTTCCTATCACTTTTTTATCTCGATGTATCGCAAAACACAAAGTGCGCATTAAGATGTTATCAGATATAATTTTCAAGGCGATTTTACGCTAAAGTCTTATTTATGCTTTATTAGCTACTCTGGTGCGTTACGTTACTGCGCCACGAGAGAATGATATATTTATTGTTTATAATGCGACTGATAACGACATTCGATGATAAATAATTGTTCCGTGTACGGCTTAAGTTTTGATTCACTTCGTGCGTGCTCTGCATACCTGAAGAATCTTAAACAACGCAATAAAGGCCGCTCAAGTTGCCTCGCACGTAAATAAAACGCATACGTACACTGACAGAAGAGTGTTTATTGCATGAGGAAACTACTTTCGCGATATGAAATATCGCTGCGTGTTGATAGAAAATTTGAAAGATGTTCAAAATTATCAATTTCTCGCTGGAGCATTTTTGAAGTTCTGAATTGATGCCACATTTTTATTAGGATAGTGAATTGCATAACTTCACTTTCTTTCCATGTTACACTTTCAATTATATCTCAGTAAACATCAAGTAACATGATATTAATGTTATAATTTTGTACTCAACAATATAAGTGCAATATAACAATATAAATGCATATATAACACATGGTATTACATAACAGTTGCATTGTTGAGTCTGTTATAACATTGATGTTATATATTATTTGTAATTGATGTTTGTCGGGATGTATTTAATTATATGCATTCTTTTCTGATTTGTATCACTTTTTTCTCAACACAGCGATATATGTACGAAGCGTTTTCAGCAGATTCACAAGTCACAATAATATCAAGATAACGCAATAATTAGAATTAATAAGAACTGATTAAAAAATGTTTCTACAATTATCTTGGCGCCAATTTGATGCTATTTCGATGACTTTTTCTGCTCGAGGTTGAATTCTAATTATGCAAGCGCATCAATTCTAGAGAACGTAGTAGATAAACAAGTCAATATTTCCATACAGAACGACGCAACGCGATTCTCGTGTCGTTTTTTTTTTTTTGCTAATTATATGCATTAATAGCGCGTACGTCGCTATTGGATACCAATGAGGCGCGCCTGGTTATAAATCGCTTAGGTCGGAAAAGTGTTTAGCTTGCACGTATAAATATCCACATGTTGTTTACATTGCGTACGTTATATAAGCGTCCGAGTATCTCAATCGATACTATATATACATATTTACTGTTCGTAGCAAAATATTATATGCTAATCACGAGTAATAAGAAAAGAATCTCTCCCTTCCCTTGTAATTCTATACTTTTCACAAAAATAAAAAACATGAAGTACAACAATCTTGATGTACAAATGAAATATTTAAAATATATGTAAACAAGAAGTGTGCGTTTTTAAAAGTTAATATATGCATGAAACGGTAATATATTCATAGAAAACGTAATGTTATATTGAAATTTTATCAGCTATTTTATCAAGTAGAATAAAGTGTGATACAATTTCAAATGAAATAAAATTTGAATTCAATTTTTCAAGTTCAAGCTTAGTAACCTTCTCTTCGCGTGGTGGATATCGAAGGGTACCAAAATAGGAAAAAATCAAACTCGAATTGAAAATTGGATTCAAATCTTATTTCATTTTCAGAATGTACCATGTTCGAAATTGTATCACCTTACCCTATTATTTGCTGATTCCTGCGGAGATCGAAAATAGCACTCGTAACAATCTCTCAAGGTCCCCTTCCATTGACTTCAAGGTAAACTTCGCGATGTAAACTGCGTGGCAGAACAGTTAGTTCTGTGGACGAATACATTGTTGACGTCAGGTATCATAGTGTATACAAAGTGCGACGTGCGTCGCACGGTCGTGGATTACTTATCAATGGGCCGCATATTTGTCCTCCGCGGACGAAGTCAACGCATTAATGCCTCGTCGCGTATAAGGCGCCGTTTTCCGTGTCGCGATTTCAGTTGCAGCCGAACAGCCGGCCGAAGGAATTTCACGTGGAGTCGACTTGGCGAGAGAAGCGATTACGTGGGAGGACACACGTTGCTGCATTTGATTGCCTCAACGCGTGTTTGTCACTGCTTATTGGTACGTGCAAGACACGCGATCGCCATTATACGCGTGTTCGTGTAATTTCGCGTATTAGACTTCCTGCCGGTCCCTCGCTGTGTTATGTAAGTACTGCTACCGTGTACGTGTCGAAAGTCAGGGCAATTAATTAATCGGATTACGCGTTAATGAATGTATCATGCATTCGTTATTGTCTCCAGCCGCAATTTTCGTAGGAAAGTACGTATAAACATTTGTTTACTACAGTAAGATTGTATTTTTTTAAAGATAAATTTAATGCACAATTGGAAAATTTGTGTAAAATTTTATACATTTCAAATAATCCATATAGAGCCGTATTCATAGTCGTGAGTCAACATGAGATTCGATTTGCTAGGTTTAAATTGGTCTTTCATTTAAAAAACGCTTTTCAAATCACGATTTAATAAATCCAATTGATTCAAACTTATTCGTCTGAAATGGAGATTAATCATAGATCAATTTATAACATAAATACAGACTTTAAACTTATTAATTTAACACAAGATGAATATGTAGGAAATAACACGAATATTATATATAAAATTAACAAAAAAAATATAACTTTGGCACAATTGTAAGCAAATTGTGAAAGCAATTCTTTAATAAAATTAATTAACATTAAGATATTAATTAAATAAACATTAACATTAACATTCATCGCAAAAATTTTAACAAGAACCGAGTTTAATATAAACATAAAATATTTTTATTGTGTAACTTTGAAGATTTCAGACATAAAGAATGATTAAAAAATAATAAATGAAGACGACTTCTTATCTATTTTCAATAGAATGTGTTCACTTTTCTTTTAAACATAATTTATGAATCTTAGAGATATTTAATTTACTTAGGTCGTAATATATTCATAAATTTTAAAAATAGCAATGACGTCAAAAATACATACATATATATATGTATATATTTCATATTGGAGTTGAAAAAAGTGTAATTATATGTATATGTATAAAATTGACGAAAATGACAATTAAATATAGAATTAGAGCAATTTAATTTAAAACGGTTTTTTATTTTAAACAAAAACACTTCATAAAAATACGTTAATAAGATAATTGATTTTTATTGCGGTACTCGAAGGTATAATATATTCTCACCGACAGATTGATGATCATTCAGCGCAATGAAATGTGATGTGTCAACGGAGATGCACGTGATTAACAATTGCGATTGATCTCGACCGCGTCGATAAACATTGGTTTCCTCGCAATCAACCGGAGTTTGCGAGTTGCAAAGTAAACGCGGCGCGCTTTTGCGTGTCTTCGTTGTATTGCTGAAACCCTATAAAAGCCTAGCTTTCATTGTTTCGCTATTACATTCGCGAACGTGACCGCTGTAACAATTAGCAGCAACAACACGGAGTGGATGGTGGTGGATCGCGCACACAGTCACATCCCTGCCGCACAGCGCGGCAGTAGGGTGGATTGATTTTTCGCCCCCTTGACGTCACGACGGATCCAACATGCGCGTGATGGTTAAATAAGGTGCCGATATCGGTACCGATGCACATTGCCTACTGAATGAGGGATAAAGTTTATTACTCCACGACCATTCACTCACGATAGCTATTTTGTCGCTCATTAGCAGCAAGTTATCTTTACTGTTGAAAGGAATGTTATTGGTGTCATAATACAATGTAACAATCTTTTATTTTATCATCTTATCGTTTGAAACAAAAATGTTTTAATAAATAGCTTCAAAGATAATTTTGTATTTAATTTATATAGATATAATGTGTCTATATATGTATTGCCATACACACACATATATATGTATACATATTTAAATAAAATTTAATTATAAATGTACTTTTTTACACTTTTGCTAATAGTTTTAATATAAATACTATATAAGCATTTATATCTCATTTATATTATCAATCAGCATTAAATTACAATTATAATCTTCTAATAATTCTTATAGAGATCTCATATTAATTGATGATCAGACGCTCGTTTAATTTCAGCTTACTAACAATAAGGTTGATATTGAGACCTGAAAAGAAAGAGTAGAATGATTACATGGTCAAGAATAAGTTAGCTTATTGCTCTATTCGAGCTGGATGAGGCTGTTCGGAGTTCCATTCAGCAAATTCCATTGACGATGATCAAACCCTTTAAGTGTTGCTAACAGCTATTGACACTGACAAGTAACAGATATAGAATGGTTATATCAGAGAAGGGAGGGTCTGACGCATAGAAGACATAGTAGAGCAAATAATGTTTCAATATGAGTGCGCTCGTATATGTATATATATATATATATATATATTTATAAGCGCCCCTCTCTTTCATTAAGAAGAAATAAATAATAATAAATTTGCTATTGCGCAGCATCATCAAGTAACTTCCTAAACGAGAGATTGTTAACCTGCAACCTTCTTCTCTCTAGCAAAATTTGTCAGATAAACAAATTAATTAATCTCCTCCACTTCTCTTACTTCTTCACTTGTCTAAAACCTTCCGAAATAGAATGATAGATATATCCTCGCTACTTAAATGAGAGTAACAGCTTCTTACACTTATACTTCAACAGTTCAATTAGCGAAGATGATTCCGATCCAATCAGATATGAATCTCAAAGAAGCAATAAAGCGTGAAAATGAATTTCAATTATCGTGATTATAATGCACAATCGTGTAGACTTTAGAGATTATTTGAGAAATGTAATCCGAAGAAGCGCGTCGTTGCAAGATGATTTCAGAGAATTTCTTTCAAAACGGTATTTCTCTGGAGAGAGGCTTATTTAGGAAGTGAGATCAGTATGTACTCTGTGTAGCGTATCGCTGCACATCTCGCGAGAGAAAGATATTGTTGAAGGAACGAGCGGTGGGTTTATGTATAAAATAACACCAAGATATATATCACGTCGGTGGGCGGGAAGTCAGGTAGAGATCAGGGGAGGGAGGTGACGAGGGAAACGGTGGGTACCACGGGGTGGTTGTGGTTCGGATGCGGGAGAAGTGAACGTCGGGGTCACGGTGGGTTCATTCAGCGATGTGCAGTTGGCCGGGTGCTGTCTGACCCGTCTCAGCAACCGCTGTCGCGTTCTCTCTCTCATCTTTCTCTTCGTGATCCCTCGCGTTCCCTCTCTAGGCTTCATCCGCCGGCGCGTTAGAATCATTCTCCCTACCCTTTACTTAGCCTACCCCAACCCGTTGTACGTACGTTCTCACCGTCGCGTCGTCGACGGCCATCGGGGCAGCACCGAGCGAACGCCCGTCAACGACGTTTTGTCTCTGCACCGCCGGTTTCGCGGCTGCTTGCGGCCGATGTTAGT